GTGAGACTTGGTTTCCTCATCTGCAAATGGGGCCTGTCGTCCTGGTCCTCGGGATGTTTTAGGGGGGTGGTGCCCGCTGCCCCAGGGTTCCAGAAGAAATGCAGAATCCCAGTTCTCAGGGAGGGGACAGTTAACAGGACCTCTCCAACCAGGCTGCTGACCCCAGGAGGCCTCTTTCCTGGGCTCCCGGAGCTCCGGGACAAGGTGTGACGTGCATACCTGGGCTGGAGTCCCAGCTCAGCCACTTAACCCCGTCAGCAGTGGCAGTAAGATGGCCCAAACATCCTGTGAGAGCAGGGAGTGGATGGTGCAGGCAGGCTACTGGGCACAGAGGAGAGAGGCATGCAAGGTAATTAGGGTGACACACGGTAGCAAATCTGTCCATCAGCTGTCTGTCCACAAGTGTGAAGGAGTTAATTCCTCCTCAGAGAGCAGGCAGCCCCTCCTCTCCATTGGACGTGGGGCTGGCACGTGGGAAGGATGGAAGCCTGGGGGACAGGAGTGCACAGAGGAGAAAGTCTTAGGGTGAAGGCGGGGGCCTTGGGCACTCAAGGAAATCTATTCTTAGTGCCAGAAATCCATGGGTTTTCCAAGCCCCAGTTCCAAGGAGAATTGGGGGGCGGGGAAGGGATGGGGCAGAGAATGAGGGAGGAGGGGAGAGAGAGAGAGAGAGCAGAAGAGGGTGAGCACACAGCTCTGTAATGGAAACTTGGCTCCCAGCCTCCACTCTCTTTCCTTCCTTAGCATGTGGCTCAAGTCTCAGGTTGAGAACTTCTTCCCTTTCTAGCAGGCACCCTGTGCTAGCTCCACGGCCTACTTCTGCCCCACCCTGCCCCCTCTGAGACTGCAGTCCCACAGGCTGCCTCTGCTCATCAGTGTGGGGCACGGAACACGTGAGCCTGCTGCTTCCCTCTTTATGCCCCCTGCCTTCCCCCCACCCCCCTCCCAAACACCCCGGCTAATTAGGCCAACATGCACTTCCAGGGCCCGGCACATGAGGAGCCAAGAATGCAGTGGACAGGGGCCAAGTGTTTTTGTTGACATTGCTCAAGTGTAGCTTTGTGAAGCAGTCTCTGCCATCGCAGAGAAAGTCCGAGGAAGCAGGAGATGATGAGGGGAAAGCAGTGGAAAAACCAAGTGTGGCCACCTCTCCCAATCTTTTCTGCCTTCCTCACTGCCCACCCTCTGCCCTACTTCCCTGAATCCAAGAGTACAGCCCTGGTGTCATGACCAATGGGACTAGCTTAGTCTCTAGGAAATCCACACTCAGAGGAGCATTATGTGTCCAGTGCTGTTTCAGAACCATTTACTTTGTTCTTTGAGATGCTTTCACGGGGTAGCATCATGCTTGGCTGTGTTCCTGATAGTGTCTGAGGAAACAGCCTTCTTGAAAGTAAGTCCAGTAAGACTGTCCTCACCCTAACCTGTTATAAGGTGCAGGATGCATTGCTCTGTCTTTCTGTGGCTGAATGATGCAACCCACTGAATTCTGTCCTTTTCAGGACTTACCAGACCTGGGTTTAAATCCCATTCTGCCCTTTTGTGCTTCCTGTGTGACCTTGGTCGAGTTTTTTTTTTTAGCCTCTCTGTGCTTCAGTTTGGAGGTAAATGAAATGGGACATAATATTGTCCCACTTGGCTCAGTGGGAAGCGAGTGAAGTGCTTAGTTTTCATCATTCTCATTTTCTCAGACTCTGATCTCTACATTAGTGGTCAACTATAAAAGATATTTTTGTTGAGATAAAAGTTTGTAGGTTTTGGAATCCAGAGGTACTGCTTTAATAGTCTCTAATTCCTGAAGATATTGAATCATTATGTAAAAAAAGAAAAAAAAATCCTCTAATTTTCTGCTACAATAGCTGGCTTTATTTATACATCTCTTAATTGGTATCAGCTTTTCTCTTACAATTACAGAACCATGGAAACTTGGCCTAGGAAAGGACTTTGGAAGTCGTTGGAAGGGACACTCTCGCTTCTTTGCAAATCTTTGCATTGCTGTGTCACCAGGCGCTTTACTTTGACCCAGATTACGAGCACAGCAGAGTGGCCAGTCTGTTGGTCCATAGCACAGCCCTGCCTTTGAATCTCAGGCAGGCTGGCAGATGCCTTTGGTGCCCTGCCCACATCACTTTGTTCTTACCTCTTCAGTGCACACTGGCACTGTTCAACTGTTAGCACCTGTATCTCATTGTCCAGGGCCTTTTTCCGGGCACCAGAACCTCCCTTGGACATGTGGCAGGTTGGAAGTGCCAGGGAATGTGTGTCCCTGGGAACAGCCTTCGGCCAGCAGCAGACCAGGAGTAGGTAGATCAATACATAAGCTCCCTCACCCCTGGGGTGTCTGAGATACCTGCCTACATTGGCACCCACAGCTTTCCAGAGGGTTCAAACTCTAGTTGATTCATTTTGGCAAAGCACCTGATATGCACCCTCTGTTGGCTGACTCCCTTTCCCTGTCCCATTTCCCTATTCGTAGATCACCCCTCTCCCCACCCTCTATAAACCACCTTGACTTGAATTTTTGCCTCAGGAACTGCTTCTGTGAAAACCTGGCCTCAGACAAATGGGATGTCTTTCTCCACACTTTCAGATTATTTATGACATTATGGTATTCAGTTCACATTGTAGGGCTGCTTGTTGGATTTTAAGGCCACTGGCCTTATTGTTTCTTGGTGAAATTTTGAAAAGTTTTCCTGTGCTTGTCAACAGTCTTAATCATAAGAATTAACTGTTCAGGTTAACCAGACTACACAAATGCCTGCTTTATCCTTGAATTATATTTGGTATTATCTTCATGTTTTTGGCAAAACTGATATCTGTGGCTACCATGTAGGTTTTATATTTCTGATTCTAAAGTTATCACTTAGTGTAGTGATGTTAGTTAAGTTCCACAGTCTACTTTTATTATTATTTTTTTAAGAACATACATCAGGGCTGGCCAACATGCATAAGGTTTAATTGGATATCTTGATAATTTTACGTCTGGCAACAGTCTCCCTTTGATTGTGGAAAACCTTAATGCATGAGTGGCTGACATTTTTGTGTCTTGTTGGTTTAGGTGAGATGTCCACAAGCATTGTGATTTTTCAGAAACTTCTGTTAGCCTTACTTGATCCATCCACAGAATGGGAATAATTATTCAGGTGTTGGAGGAACAACAGTGGGCAAAGCAGACAATATTTGTGCTCCCCCTTTCTTTCCCAGATGATGTCATGAAGTACAAATTTAATATTGAAGGTGTAATTATTTAGGAAACTGAACCACCATGGAAATAGAGCAATGCGTATGATTACCTTCAGCTTTTCATTGACTGTTTCAGAACACCACATTGATGTGGCTGGATGGGGTGTACCCTCCAGTCTTTTGTGAAGACCATTGCACATTAGGCCCTTGTCTTATATTTAAGTCCATTTTTTGACCACCGCAACTCTGAAACTCAAGAGATTGCCATTGTGTCATGTCACATCTTGATTTAGTGCCAACCCACTAGAAAGAGTCACCTTGGCTTGCTGCTTCCATCTTCCAGCTCTGTTGTTTCTTTGCCTCTGTCTTCCTTGATTTGTCCATAGTTGTCAAGGCTATTGGCCACTCTTTCTGTTTTGGAATTCTCTGTCTGCTCACCTTCTGTGGCACCATTTTCCTTGTTCCTTTTTCTTCCATTCATGACCCTTTGATGACTTTTTTTTCTATACTTGCTCTCTGAAAGAATCTTGAGTTCCCCATAATTTCTTGTTCTATTCCCTTTTCTTTAGTCCCCCCCCCCTTCTCTGGGAGACCCCATTCATAGATGTCTCATACTGTCCCCTGTTTGCTTATGACTCTCCTGATCCTCTCTGTCCCCAGAGGCATTTGCACCCATGTTCACATAGGCAGCAAGCCTCCCTTGCAAAGCTCCACATGCAATTTAGATTCAACATGTCTTTAACAGAGAACTCACTGCATTCTTCTTCTCATGTACTTTATAGTCTCTGTTCTGTTTCCTGGCACTTCCATCCCATGAGTCATCTCAGCACTGTTCAATGCATATCCCCTTCAGTGTTTTGCTTTTCCTCATTCCTGCCTTTGTCTCTTGTTTATGGAACTCTTGCTATGTGGTGTTCAAGGCCTAGGCTCTTAGATGTTAAAATGGTGTCTTTGCTGGATAACCCTTCAGAAGGGGATCCTGATCAAGTGTTCAATTGCAGGAAGTTTTTTTTGGGAGGTAGTTCAAGAAATGCTGGTAGGAGAGTAAATTCTGGTGGGCTAGAGCTAATTATACTGACTTAGTGGACCTAACTGTGTCCAACTCTTCCTAAATTCACGTCTAGGGAGGCCATGGTGGTAGCTTGAAATAGGCCATAATGGGACTATTTACACTAGGGGTGTCGAACTCAATCAGAGAAGGGGCCAAAATCTAAAATCCAGCCTAAATCGCGGGCCGAATGGTTTACTGAACAGTCATAAACTGTCATTGTGATGGAAACGCAGTGGAGTGCAGTGATGACAGCGCGGTGCGGGCCACATTGCAAGGCCTGGCGGGACGGATTTGGCCCGCGGGCCTTGTGTTTGACACATGCGATTTACACCATAGAAATTGGCCTATGGCCACAAACAAAGACTCCCCATCCTTTACCCCCAGAATTGCTTATTAAACATTTCTCAGCATTGTTTTGGGAGCAGAGAATTAAAACATCGAAGGGCAGAGTTGATAAAGTGTGCTTTATCATGAGACTTACACTGTAAACAACTAGAGTGGGATCCCAGTGAAGAAAACTCTGCAATTCAGGTTAGAATATATACCTCAAAGTCATCCCACTGGAGCAGTGAGGTATTAATATACTACTTCCTACCAGTTACTGGCTGAGGGCTACCCTTGAGGCCCAGTAGAATCCAGTACCAGAGAAAGTATAACAGCAAGGCCTATGGGGGTACAGGAAGTATAGGTAATGGCTGATTAAGACACTGAGCACCCAGATTAGTAAAGGCAAATTAGTGATGTGTGGTTATCTTTTTCTCCCCAGACCTTGACTTCATGGATCTCATAGGGGAAGACCGACAGTGGACGTTGGGGAGGAAGTTAATGCAGGTGAATGACACTTTGACTTCAGAAGACACAGACCTTCGGAGCAGCAAGAACTGCACTGAACCAGGTAACTTGACAGCTGCACTTTGGGCAGTAGCTGCTGTTTTCTCTGATTTTGGCTAAGGAAGAGCTGGATGCCATGTTTTTTCTTTAAATTCTAATCTAGAGAGACTTTAAGGACATCTAGGGCAAATGTCTAAGAAACTCAAAGATGAGACCCCAGGCAACTATGCAGGTGTGTTTGTACCTCTGCATTCTTTTCTTAGGGCAGCTGAAGAAAAGGTAAGTCAAAGTCATGGGAAATGCAGTGATAGGGAACCCTTGTTATGGGAAATAATGGAGTCAGACGTGACATGGTGACCAGATCCAGGATGTTGGGTTCAGCTATGCCCTGGCCAGTGTGATGGAGGGCTTGCTTCGGTTTGCTGGTGTGGGAACTGTGGTTCAGGGAGATGAAGTGGTCTCTCTGTGAGTATCATTGCTCACCATATCAAGAAATGCCTTCTTCAAGGTGACAGCTATAGAAGAATAATGCACCTTAAAAGCCACTGCGAGAGAGATTTTTATACAGAGCATGAGCCCAGCATCTGCTGGTGTTGGTAGGAGTGGGGGCTGGAAGGAGAGGGAAATGGAGGATAGGAAAGGCTTTAGGAAGGCAACGTGAGGAGTAAATGAGAACTCATCATGTTGTGTAGAGCTGGTCCACGAAGAACAAGGACCCAGCAGGCACATCCTTGATGTCCGCATCTGCAGACTATGGGAACTGGACTTGATTTCTTGGGTCCTTGACTCTAAACCAGATTTTGTAGGGAAGGCAATCATGCTTGAACCAGGGAGGGTCTTGTTCAATCCCTAACATATCCAGGGCCTGCTTGGAGCCTCTCTCCTTCACTAAGCTGCTCGGACCAACCAGATTGTTGTGACCATTTTGCTTTTGAATGTTTGTTTGTTTGCTTTAATGTAAAATGTCCCTCACTGCACTGTTTAATATGGACATTCAATGGTGACTTAATTAAAATGAATTCAAATTACATACAATAAAAAAATCCAGATTCTCAGTTGCACTAGCCACACATCAAATATTCAAGAGTTGTTTGGGACTCATGGCTACCATTTGAACAGCACCAATCATAGAGCATTTCCATTGTCTATTAGATAAACTGGTCTAGAAGGTCCATTTGTCTCTTGTCTTTCTAGTTCAAGGATATAGGGTGAATGTGTAAATTTGATTGCCCCATCTCTAATCTGGGTCTTGGGATTTCACTCACCTGAGTGGGAATACTGGCTTAGAAACTTGGAAGCTTTGGGCTTTGGGCAAATGGTCAGGTTCTCTAAGCCTTTTTGCTTCTCTGTGAAACTAAATAAGTATTCTAACCTATCACATTTGCCCTGAGAATTGATAATGAAGTAATAAAGTATTACCAGCTTAGTGCTCTGTGTTTGGTAGCTCCACAGGAGGAGCTCACTCAGGAACTCCCACTGGGCTCGGGGCACCCCTCCCTCCATTGTAGGCAGGTCATGAAGTTACATTCTCCAGCCCCTCCTCAGGGGAATGGGCAGATACTTCACATCTGTTCAGTCAACAGGTCACTTCCTAGTGGCCCAGGTCTGGGCAGTCAGCTAGGTATGCAGAGAGGCCCAGGCACCACCTTCAAACACAGGCAGGTTGGAAGATCTCACTCAAGGCACCTTTGAGGAATCCTCTGTTTCTGTAAGGATGTAATCAAAACATTGCCTCAGACTCACATCACCACCAATTGTCTTGGCCTTCTATCCAGAATACTGTCAGAAGACTGCTTCTCAATGTTCACAGAATGGATATTTTATGAAAAAAGTTGAGAATCAAAGCACTTGTGAGATCTTGATTTAGAATCAAAATTTATTAGTATTACTCCTCTTTACCTCTAACTGATGAAAGGGTGAGAGGAGTTGGAATAAGCCAGTGGCAGGCCCATTCTCAGCAGGCTGCCCAGTTCCTTGGAGAGGCCAAAGCAGGCCTGTACGTAATGAATATTACTTCTACTGATTGAATGTAGTGGTGTCTGCTCTCAAATGACTTAAATGTAGGGACTAGGCAGTGAGTCAGGTGGATTTTAGATGGACCTTCTTCCTCTTTGTGATGATGTCAGCAGAGCAGTCATGATGGTGATGCATCAGGGTGCCCTATATGCGTGAAGGGTGTCTGTTTACTCAGGACCTGAGTTCTTGGGGTGCCAGCTTTTGCCGTGACCCAGTGAGTTATGGTGCCAGGTCACAGGAGTTAATTAGGCTCTTGTCACAAAGTGCCCCTAGTGCCACTTGGGATGTCACAGGGCTTCTCAGACTGTTCATAGAATCCCTGGCTTTAGATGCCATTAGAGTAGGTGAAATGTATTCTCTGGGAGATGGGGCTAGTTTGCTCCCTAGATGTTAATTTCCTCAGCTATGAAATAGACTTGCAACTGGTTTATCTCTCTGATTCTTTCTATTGCACACATTTGCTTATGCAAGAAATTTCCAGAACAGTCACAAAAACTCCCATCCCAAGATGCCCCCACTCCACTTCCCTTAAGAAAGTCTTTGTGTTTCCATGCCATACCACAGTCCTCCTTTTATTCCCTCTACTCCTCACCCTCCCTCCCTTTCCTTCTCCACCTCCGCCTTTGCCTCCTCATTTCCATCTCCTTATTTCCTTCTCTCTCCCTCTTCTTCCTTCTGAAAACCAGGAGTCCCAGCAACTGGCCAGGGGACGGCCAGGACACAGGGTTCCTTCTTTAAAGTGGCACTGCCACTTGTCCAGGTGGCTCAGTTGTTTGGAGAATTTTCCTATAACACCAAAACCATCGCAGGCTCAATTCCAGGTCAGGTCATATACCTAGGTTGTGAGTTCCATTGCCAGTTGGGGCATGTACAGGAGGCAACTGATGGATGTTTCTTTCTCTCTCTCACTTCCTGTCTTCCTAAAACCAATTAAAAAGTATATCCTTGGGTGAGGATTTAAAATAGATAAGGTAGGAGTGCTCTCTGTAGTTGATGTGGCAGCACTGAGATGACACACTCTCCATGTGATAGTGCCACTTTAAAGACATGTTGCTGTGTACAGTTTGGATTTTTATTTTAAATGGCATTCTTCCCTTGCTGTTAAAGACATGGTTTTGGTGGAAATTTGTAATTTTTGCCTCTAGAACAGCATGAAAAAAGGCTGACCTCTGGACTCCAATCTTTCTGCAATTTTTTCTTGCCCTCTGTGAAATTTGAAGGTTGTTTTCTTAGCCTAGCTGCCAATTCCATCTGAAGCCTGGAAACATTGTTTTTTGGTAAATAACACTTGAAACTGTTTACTCAGATGACCTATTAAGAGAAATTATACTGGATAAATTTGAGTCACGGAAAATTAAGTTAGCTAAATGTAGCACTGAGAGGGGTGGATAACTGTAGCAAAAAATGATTATTTTGTACTATTTATTTGTACACTTTGCAGAATTTTATTTATGCACTTTGCCGTCTGTCTCCAGAAAAAAACAAAACAAAAAAAAACCTATCATCTTTTGGTTTTTAGTTACTTGATATTTTAAGGAAATGAGCTTTTCCTTAGAGTGCCTCTTTCAAATAAACTTTGGAAGGAAAGAAGCTGTTTAAAATGATAGCCTTTGGCATGGGCTTCGCTCTGAGATTACTGGAGTCTCCTGATAAAGAGCTCGGCTTCCTGTACATGCCTGGCTTAGCTGGATCTAAGGTCTTTGAAGATGGAAAGACACGCTGGGTCTGAGCAGCAGGACCAAGCAGATGCTGCCAGGGCACTGACCCGAAGGGTCCATGCCAGGAATGTTCACTGGATCAGGTGTATGCTGGAATGGCCGTAAACCACATCATCTGTTGAATGTGCATAGAGGAAAGAAGCCAGAGGTCCCTCCAAGAACAGCAATATGGGCCAAGTAAAAAAGATGAATGTGGCCCATGAATAAAAACTGGAGGCCAGGCACAGATTGGCAAGCATGGAAGACTGGTCTAGGGTGCAAGTCATGAGTGTTGGGATCTTCCTGTTTTTGAATGTGAGCCATAAAATCAGCATACATACAAAGCATGATGGGTCCAACTCTCTCATCTTTTACATGAAAAAAGAGGGGTCCAGAGGGGATAAATGATCTCCCATGGTCATGGGGCTTGTCAGAGCAGAGTAGGGTCCCCAACTGTCACACGTAGAAATTCAATGTATATTGACAATTAGATAGGAAAATCTAACCGTTGTATGATCTGGAGTAGTACTGTCCTGAGGAAACATAATGCAAACTACAAATATAATTTTAAGTGTTCAAGTAGCTTTATTTCCGAAGTAAAAAGATGTAGGTGAAATTAATTTTAATAATATATTTTACTTAACCAAGCATATCCACAATAGGAGGATATCCATCACCCCAATGTTTTATCCCCAGGTTTGAACTCACAAAGAACGAAGGTTTGTAAAAAAAAAAAAAAAAAAAAAAAAAAAAAAGTTGTAAAGATCTCTGCTTTATTGTACTAGCTCACATCACTTTTACTAACTTTCCTCTGCACTTGTAATTTTTATGATTCAAATAATAGCTACTGACATTAAGAGGAATGAGTTAGAAACTCACTGTGATCTGGTCTTCAATTTGTATCTAATTTTTTTTTTACTGAATTAGTAGGACAAGGTAATAGTAGAGGCTGTAGCAGATAAGTCCTTCAGATTTGGGAATTTAACACACAAGAAGTTTGCTTTTTTCTTTTCTTTTTTTAAATATATTTTATTGATTTTGTACAGAGAGGAAGGGAGGGAGATAGAGAGTTAGAAACACCGATGAGAGAGAGTCATCGATCAGCTGCCTCTTGCACACCCCCTACTGGGGATGTGCCCTCAACCAAGGTACATGCCCTTGACCGGAATCAAACCCGGGACCTTTCAGTCCCCAAGCCGACGCTCTATCCATTGAGCCAAACCGGTTTCGGCAGAAGTTTGCTTTTTTCTTGTGTGAAGTTCTGATTGGTAAGGTGGCTCTGTTGCAAAAAGTGGTTCATGGACTTGGGAGCCTTCCATTTTGAGGTTTTTCTCTTCCTCACACCTGGTTT